ATATATGTAACTAAAGAACATTTTAAAGAAATGACCTGATCATTTTCGACTTGAGTCGCAGGTTAATGGTGACTTTAAAATATAATTTTGTGCTGCTTAGCTTTACATTGTATGTTTTATTCACAGTAAGGCTTTATGTGACAAGAGAGAAGAAAAATGAGAGGAAAGGATGATTGGCTACTTAATCTTACAGATAGGAAACTTTATCAAAGACACTAGTATATGTTAGTTTCAAGTAATAATTTGTGGTGTCTTACCACAGACTGTATATAGATGAGTTATTATGTGTGTCCTTTCCCTCTGTTTCCCCCCCAAAACACTTGTATGTTTTTAATATGATAATGATGTATTTTAACACTTTGTTGCCATTTCTTCTGACTTATTTAATATACTGCAATATCTTTTTACAACTGAGTTCGTAGTACATTTTACTGAACTGTCTTTGTCCAGCTGTCAAGCTAACAGACCTGACATATGAGCCCCCCTGTGCTTTGATCTCGGGCTGACAGATATTGCAGGTCAGAGGAAGAGTAGAGTTAGACCTCATGCCTGGTGTCATCCAGCCAACTGAATAGCTTTCCATTGAGCAGCAGCAATCATTGCCCTAGGATACAGGTGCAGACAGTTTATAGCGGGGAAGTCTTTGACAGGAGTAGCTACAGGGATAAATGCCTGCATTTAAACATCTGAAATGAAGGAACTGCTGATGAAGAATGGTCCAAATTCTTTAAACAAAATTCTGCCTCAGGTCGAATAGGATGCCAGTCTGTATTTTCTGTCTCAAGTTGATTTCTTTATTTGACCTTTTGCTATTCATTGGCAATTTTCATAATCCAGAATCCTATCCTCCATTGACAAAAAAAAGCAGCAATTCATGTCCTCATGCTTGGATTTTTTTTTCCTACTCTAGGTATTTCACAGGCATTTCTATAAACCTTTTGTATTCATCAGGCTGTTTACTTTAGTCTCTTTTCCTTTTAGCATTTGTAGTTACACTGATCAATGAGGGAAAATTATGCTGAGACAAATCAGTTGTTTCCTTTCTAAGCATTTACAGGAGAACTCTGTACCAGAAATAAAAAATGTACTCACGCATTCAATGTTTTTTGACACTTCATAATGAATAATGTTTCTTTCTTAAAACAATATGTGCACATTGTGAGTGGCAATAATAAACTGGTGGTTCTTAGAGAACAACTTTTCAGATTTTGTCTGGGAAAGCATGTAAAGGAAAAAAAATCTGCTTAGAAAAAGTCACTAGAAAAGTTTCTTGCAGTTCTTTGGAAAGCACTGTCATAGCTTTCTGTGTAAAGTACAGCTGTGGAGGTTTGATAGTTGCTTGTGATATTGATCAAGTCGCTTTTTTGAGTCTCACTGATTTTATAAATGAGCTAAGATGTAAATTTGATGATTATCAGACAGGACAGTTGGGAAGCATTTGTTTATTGGTTCTCTAGAAATATGCATCCTCTATTGAGGCAGGGCATATGCATTTGTAATGCTTTGGGGGTTTGTTTAAAAATTAAAAATTGTTGATTCCAGATGTTTAAACAACAAAACCCCATTTTCCACAAAATCTTTACAAATAAAATTGAATTGGGAGAAAAAAAAAAGATTCCCCCCAACTCCTGTATAAATCTTTCACTTCATTTTGAAATGTATTATTTAATGTGAAAATCAGACAGATATTGAAGAGACATACCAGTGAGCCACTTTTCCTGAAAAGGCCTTAGCAAAGAGATTGTAGAATAGCTGTTATTTTAAAAATAATATCGATTTTGTTGGCTTGATCCATTACACAGCACTTGTACAAGTCATACTAGCCTTCTGCTTTTAATTTGATAGATACATTTTTAAGTTTTTCCTTTAGAGGGCACAATTGACGTTGTGTTTTACTGCAGTTCATGTCCCCTGAACTATTTCTGACTTCCACCTTTCTTACCCCCCCAGATTACATTTAACTCAGTGATACCACAACGTTTGCATGCAAAAGGCTTTCTTCAGTTTTATCTCTGAGTGTTTCAGTTTATTTTTTTAATGGGATTTGTGTTGCTATCGAAATTAAAAGGAAATTATTAAGCTGTGTTTCCCGAAGTGGATAATGTCCCATATTCATTTAAGTTCTCTTTCTCTTCCCCTTCTGTAAACATTTCAAAATAGGTGATCTAAATCACTATCCAGTAATAAATATGTAAATTTTCAGAGAGCTGTGTGGAGTTTAAATTCCACAGTATATATATTAAAGAAATGCAGCTTGCACAAGTAAATTCCTCAGCAGCCTTTGGAATATTTGTTTCTTGCTGAAGCAGACACCCATAGCTCTTACCTTGGAGCCTTTAAACTTTTCTAAGGATTAATGTGCATTGGCTTTTCCTTTAATATTTCTTCTTCTTCTTCTTTTTTATTGTTTTGTCTTTGTGTGTTTGTTTTCTTCTAGTGACTCGACCAGGACTAGGCTGTCGGGAACTTGTGTCAAGAAACCTCTCCAAAATTCTTCCAGGTCTCTGTCATGATATAACGGACTGGGTTGAAAGCACAAGAATAAAAGCATCCCAGCTTCTTTATACATTATTGCTGCATGCAGAGGATCACATAACACAACATATGGAGCTACTGCTTAGAACTTTGTACCAAGCATGCTTGGATGAAGAAAGCGATGTGGTTAAAAATGTAAGTTTAATCTGTTAAAGTACCTATTGTACACTGAATAAAGTCTCTTATAATTCTGAGTCCGGCTTCTGAGATCTGACCTTACCTTAAGTCACTGGAAATTGCCCATGACTGAAGGATCAGGCTCAGGGTTTTATGGATGTTAAAAACGTGGACATTATACTTACTTACTTACTAAGTTAAAATAAATGTATTCTTGTATTACTGGTATGAAGATCAATAGTAAAGTTATTTAAATACTGTTTAGTTTATATGCCAACCCATGAAGCATTGATAACCATCTCTTTAAAAATCATAAGCAGTGGATTAAAGTATAAAAGCCTTGGGGCAACAAATTCCATTTTAAAAAATGTGCAGGTCATGCCCTTTCAAGTTAATTTCACTTATCTCCCCCTGCTGCATAATCCTACCATAATTCCAACCAAATATTGAGGTATGTCTGTTCCATGTGATACCCGTATTCAGTGCTTGAATACTTGACTTAATGCTTGTAAAATGCCTTTTTTTTTTTCTTCCATGTTTTTTGTGAGGCATAATCAGGATAATTTTTCTAACAGTTGGTGCTCTCAACACTTTGATCAACAATAAATCAGTAAAACAGATGTAGTTGAAGACATTAGGTAAATTTAGCAGAGGATAGACAGGTGATAGAAATGTTTTTACAATTTTAAGAGAAAATATTCTGTTCATATGTCTGTACAAGCAAGCATTCATATGTATAACAAAAAAACATATCCATGTAACTTACTTTTAAGCTACAAATTTTATTGCTTTGGGAAATTTGATGAATGCGTTCTACTTACGGGATGCAAGTAGTCCAGACAATGTCATAAAAGTTGATTCCTAAATCCAGCTTTTCTTTAGGTTCCTGCTATCAGTTTTCAGAGCACTAGGAGTCTTTTTCTTTATGGCAAATATGGAGGAGGACAGGGTTCACATCTAAATAGAGTTTAACTGTTTTGAGTCTTCACCCTTGTGAAAAGAAATGGCTATATATAGTGTCAATTTAAACTATAGAATTCATGGCTACATGCTTCCATTGAGACTAAAAAAATAGGATGATTCAAGTATTAATTAGGTGCAATTAAAAATCCATGGCTAAGTCACTAGACTAAGAATTATATACAATGGGAAATAAGCTTTCATGTTTGGGGAGATGAGCCAACCATTAAATAAAGGGGTTGGGAAGAAATGTTCCTGTTGCACAGGTAATGGTGCAATAGGTGGCTTTGTTTTAATTCACGCACCTTCTTGTAAGTATTTGGGATCAGGGAGGGAGAGAGTAAGCTCTGGTGTGGTGGTATTTCATGTGGAATACAACGTACCAATATGTGTGCAATGCAGAGATGGGATCAAAGGGCTTGAGTGTCATGGGGAATACGTAGTTATTTCAGCCTTTTCAGTTGAAGAGATTGAAAGCAGTGAGCAGTTCCCCCATGGCCACGCTAAACTGGATTAGTAATGCCAGTGTCAAAATATAGTACAATAATTTTAAAATTCCTCTTCCAGGGTTTTATTGTTGTTGCTTTTAATAGATGAGTGGTGGGTGCATTGAGAGCATTCCTCAGGACAGTATTTGGAGGACAAAATGCTAAACCACTAAATCTGCAACATCTGGTTATTCTAAGCTAGAGACTCTGTTACACTGAAAGTTGTACACTTCATTTCTGTGCATTGCTTTCTCATGGAAAGGTCTGATGCTGAGAAAAGTGCTTGCATGCCCTATTATGTACTTACTGAACACGTCAAGAAAATGCCTTCATGCATATAATCATTACTGAGCAAGTGGAAAAGGCTTACAAGGCAACTGCTGAAGCACTTAAAATAATGACTGGAATCATAAAAAACCAAAAGCCCATGATATGTTGAATAGTCTTTTGTGTGTTCAGGAAAATCGTCAAGTTATTCCTGTTCTTTTTTCAGTGTGTGAAAGCAGCAGAACTGATTGGAACGTTTGTCAGCCCTAAGGTGTCATTGAGGTTAATCACATCACCCTTTGGGAAGACGCCTAAGCCTTCTTGTATCATGGTTCTAACAGCAGTGATTCGAGGTAGCCCAAAAGAACTCTTACAGCCTCATTTGACAGATCTTGGCAACACACTGTCACAAGATGAAGTTTGTCAGCGATCTGAAGAGGTAAGGATAACTGGAAAATACACAACAGACCAAAGTTTTAGACTGGTGGTTCTCCAATTTATTTTTTTTTTCCCTTGTTCTCCCTAAATGCTCCCATTCCTGTCCCTCCCTTGCACACCTGCCCCACTCTGTGTCAGGTTATAGTTGTGAATGTGTATCTGAGACAGAACAGGGGCTTCCCTATCCTCCCTGAGATGTGTCGTGGTCTCCTGGTGAAATCTGCTATTCCCAAAAACTCTCTAGCAGTCCATCCTCCCAGCAGATGTGGGTTCAAGTCTGAGAACTGCTGTAAAAGGCTTCAGAGAGTGGGAGGAAAATGAAAAGGCATGATAGGGAGAGAAGAAGCTGTTTAGTTTGTACTGTACTAATAGAAGACTACCTTGGCTGATCCAGAGGCAGAATTTAACCCATGTTTTGAAATGTTCCCAATCCAAACAAGATGATATATTTTGATCCTCATCAGTAAAAATGACTGAAAACTTTTCACAGTCCATTGTAATTGGCATGTCAGGTTTCACAAGAAAGATTCCCTCTTAGTATCATCTTCTTATCTTTGTTTCATATTATTACTATTTTACATTTTAAAATTAAGGTACCAGTATGCTTACACGTACACTTAGGAGCATGCTTTGTAAATTGTTGGGCTTTGTTGCTTTTCTTTAAGTGAGAATCCAGGAGGAAGACCTTTATAATTAGAAATTTTCTCTCACATGTACCCTTAACTGATGGTTGAGCCTGGAGACCATATTAATTTTAGCATTTGAAGAACATTCATCAATTGCTGTATAAGGAGGTGACAGATTCTCTTCAATGTGGAATGGAGGTTGTTAAGTTCCAGGATATTTTTTTCCACCCCCTTCCATTTCTTGAATGTGGAAATAGATCTGTTAGAGATGCTCAAGAATCCCTACAATTGTCCTCACAAATTAAATCCCAGCTTTCACTGCACCAAAAGTTTGTAGCAGGCCTCTGCTCTTAAGATGACCAAAAAAGGGCCAGTACTGTGCCTTCAGAAAACTCTGACTTCATGTCAGATGCAGACTTGCCTTTAAAAGTTATTCATGTGTGTAGATTGTATCTAGTGTAATTGGTTTTTGAGCCAATGTAAGATATCCGTTTGAATTTCTTACCTCATTAGGTTTCTTACCTAATGGAATATGTACCAGTGATGCAGGAATTAACCTTAATCTCCATGAAGCCTGTGATGATTAGGAACTCATATAACTGGAAGCACTGTGGCCTGATTGTTCAAATCAGTATATCTGCAAAATTGCTGTGAAGTCTTACGCTCACTGCTACCATTGGCATTAAATACAGTAGACACGTTCATCTGCAGCTGAAGCGTTTGGCAGAATTGTTCTAGCCTTTGGTCTTGGAAAACAATCTTTCTCTATTTTAGATAGTGAATGCTGCACAGACACTGTTTAGCTAAGGATTGACCGGGTCCATGAGATTAATAACCTATTCCTAGACTTGATTTATTGTTTTGGAAATAAATTTGTAACAATGGCCCCTTCTGTTCATTGAATGTAATCTGACAGCTTCAAGGAATATCTGGTGTACTTTATCATAGAAGTTATTACAAACTAACTGACAACAATATTGACTTTGACTGGTATCAGTTGGATCAAGATAACATGCATTATATCGCATCAAATGAGATTAATTGGTTGAGATAAAAGCAGACACTCGGGTTTTCTTGGTTTATGTATTTAACCATTATTCCATTCAAAATACTCAAACATGGAATAATATTTGAAAGAGTTATAACAAATATGTTATTAATTAACAACTTGCACTTCAGAATGAGAAAGTACTATCGGTAAGCATTCCAAAATGCTTTGATGTTTTTATTTGCAGTGGAGCAATTGTGTGAGTAAGAGCAGGGTCATTTATTTTGTTAACAGGACAAGGTAAATACAAACAAACGGTGTGGGAGGAAGTCTATGTTGTATTCTATAAAAAGCAGAAAATAGGTAATCAAAAGAACTAACATGAAATGATCAATGTTACCAAGGGGATTATGCAGTGCTCAGATTTTATTATTGTAATTTCCTGTATCTCTCCCTTAAAGAGAATGTTATATTTTCTATCAATATAATATATTAAGAATATAATAAATTCATGCTTTTATTTAAAAATAGGTCTTTTATATGGAGCAGTTGCTTTGTTGTGTACAAGCATTGATTGAAGTATGCCAGGAAGACTGCAAAGAAATTACCTTGCAGCTAATGAAAGTTTTGGTGACAATAATGGCAATACCATGTTCTCAGCACCTTAAAGAAAAGGTAAACTATGAGCTGGTTTAATATTTTGTTGTGTTTCTGATTTTTACTATTGATAAGACACTTTGTCTAAACAGAGCCATAATTATTTGTCTTGCTGTTAGGTTTAAACCACAGAAATCCTTAGCTCATCCACAAAGACTGGTAGTGTTCGAAATGATTTGGTGTTGCATGACCTTGGCTGTACCCTCCGTCTGTCTCCTCATCTTTTTTTCCATAGCTGAAATTACTTTAGGTTTAGTCTGTTTAAAACAGATAAAGGCAACTTCTCCAGAGGAATAAAACATTAAAATCGTATTTGTAAGAGCTAAGAACTTGTACAATGCTACTCAGGTTTTTTTGCGATTATTCATTTTTCATGTGTACATGTGTGTATAGCAATCTGTTTCAAAAATTATATAGACATATAATAATTAAATATTTAGAAATACGTATAAATTCAAATTCATCAGATTCACTGTTAGAATGAAAGAAGCATGAGGGAGTACTTGGATTCTGTCCTGCAAAGATCTATCCCTATGGCACTATTCTGGTGGCTAGTTAATAATTAGAAGTCACTGCAAAGGCTGAGAGATCTATGAATGTTATAATTTGTCAGTCGAAATATTGCTTGGCCTAGAAGAACACTTTACTGGAGTGGATATTAATCACTGGAATATGGTTTATGTAAAGTTCTGTGACAGGAGGTGTTCAAGAGTTTATACTTGTCGCTGGATTCTGCAAAGTCTTGGGCATGCTGTTGGTGCTGGTTGAACTGTTGATGCTTAATTTTTAGGTGGATATAAGTCACTGGATTATTGTTGCTGTTAGGTTATACACAGGCGCACACAAGCAGCCAGGAAAAACCTCAAATTTATTTTATGACTGTTAAAGAACAATTCACCTATAGATCAAGAGCCTTAAAAAATGATAGTTTCATAATCAGATTTTTAATCTCTAGACAAACATCAGACTGATTTTGCGGTAGTTGACCTTTTTACCTCTCCAGTAGAACCAAAGGTTTAAATGTTACAGGAATGCTTTAAAATCAAGGACATCTGTATGTACCCTGATAATAGATGGGCTTTTTTGGCTAAACATTATCTCAGCGCCCTTATTTCTCTCTTCCTCTTTCTTCCTCGAGCTAAATATCAAATAAATCAGCAAGCCATCCTCATGTAGTACAATTGTGACCTATCCAAGTTGTCTTTTTTCAAACGTGTGCCTTAAGTGTGATGGCTATTCTACTTTCTTCTCTCTTGCTCCCAGGCATGGTGTTCCAAAGGCCTGCGTAGCATCAGTATTTATGGCCCCACAGCTGACAGCCTGCCTCCGAGGAAGCATACACTTAGAAAACTATTTTGAAAGAAGTAAAATAGAACAAAGCTTGAAACAAGTATTGAAAAGACAGCAGGTCAAAGAAGTACGGCATGAAGATCTGTATCATGGAGAGCTAGTGTGAGAGCAGGATTTTAGGGGTTTTATTTTAGTTTTGTTGTTTTCTTAAACAGCCTGTCCAAGAAAGCCTCGGACAGATGGATCTGGCATGTTTTGCAGTATCTTGTCTGTTTAGCCCTGCAGTGGTCTATAAAGTCAGCAATGTCCATTTAAAACCTTAGAAATTCATACTCCTACAAAGAAAGCAATTTCATGGAGATGAATCCTAATTTTTCAAGATTTTATATGGAAAAGTTAATCTCTAAAAATTATTAAAGGTTTAAGATGTTCCTGCAGTTAGAGATGATTTTTAAAGTTGACAGTACTTTGGATAAGCATCATTTTCCTCATTAGCCTTTCTTTCAGCAAGGCAGAAAGAAAATCTGGCAACGAGATTACATAATTGCAATATTTCAAATTTGTCACAAAGGCAAATATGGTTTGATTTTTAATTTTTTTTCCCAGTTACTGCTATTCTAAAACTTCAAAGTGAGCTGTACAACTTGCAGAAGGCAAGAGGTCCCTGTTGAAATAGCTTTAGACTATATGAAACGTATGTATTACATTCAGCTTTACAAGTATAAATTTGTTGTTCAGAAAAGACTGTATTCAGGATCAAAAGATATTGAGTATAAACATAAGTTATTCAAAAAATTGCATTATAGATCTTCAATTCATGCTTTGCTGTAAGGGGACAGAAGATCACAGAGATAGTGGAGACCACAACTGATGTGACTTGATCGAGAACACTCACAATCTTGCTTGATTTTTGGCCCCTTGGCTTTGTGCTCATCAGTGTTTCTGGTTGCTTAGGGCTAAAGAAGAAGATCAAGACCACCAACGGAGCACTTCGGTATCGTGATGAGGAGTATGGTTTACAGCCCCTAATAGAGAGAAGCCCTATCAATTGTTAGTCTGTTAAGCATGTATTGAGCTTGTCAGTGATTTAACTGGTGACCTGAAGATAAGATTTTGTTTCATTGCCAGTGACCTGTGCTATCTTGGCTCTTCTTTTGGCACACATTGATTATTAGCATGTATTGTATCATTAAACTTGTTAGCTTTCAAATATAGGGACGAAAATCACCTTTGCTTTTTTTTTTTTTTTTAACTTCTCAGTGGGAAGATATTCGTCAGTCTATTGGCATATTTAATTTATTCTCTCTTTTTTTTTTTTTTTTAATTGCACTCCTGAAACTACTTAAAGAGTTGTCAAGTTGTGGTGGGGTTAATAATGGGAAACAGTTTCTGTCTTTACACATTCTGTCATGTAATATTTTCCAATTAATTTACAGAGAAATTAATATTCTACATGTAAGTTATTCTGAGTCGTTTTCTCTGGCTGGCAGAATGCTTCCAGAGAGGAAAAATCTATTGTGCTTGAGGCAGGCAAATCTGCCTTAAGAGTAACCTTTGTCCTTAGTAAATCCTGATTTTTTTTTTTTTTTCCCTAGAAATCTCATTTATTTTCTCCACATCTGGTACTTCTATAATAACATCTTTGTCTGGCAAGTGATTAGTCTGTACCATTCTGAAGGTCCTAGACATGTTTCAGCTAGCTTGTGCGGTTGAGTTCAGCTTAAAAATATGACTACAATTTGTAGCTCTACTGAACCACTTAGAGTGAAATGATGTCACTGTATCTTTTCCTGCTAGAACTGGCCATGCTGACGACATATGTTATTTCTCAGTGGCGTTTCTAGTAGTGTCGTGCTCCCCATTGATTCATTGTCCACTGAAATCACTAAGACTATAGATGCTGCTTTCAGCGTGCTTTTAAGCTCTTCCTTAGAGAAGTTTTATACCTCTGGTAGGAGTCTTCAGGAATTGTAAAAGCTAATTTTCCTTTGCTTTGAAATACATCTGCTATAAGTGATTAAGAAAATCTATATTCTTCCTTGCCAAGCGTGATCATGTCTGGAATTCATTTAGTAGCTCTTTTATGTGCATGTTTTATTTGCCTGTCTCATGGAATAGTCTAAATATGAAGAAAGTGTTTCAAATGTAACAGTGAATTTTGGTACTTCTCCTAAGCAACAGAAGTTGAGAATGTAAAAGTGAACCTGACCAGCTACTGTAAAGAGCGAGCATCTTGCAGAATTAAAACTTGGGGGGAAGAATGGGGAGAGGGGAAATGCTGTCTTCTCTGAGCTGCAACAGCAATAGTTTTTGGAAGCTGCGATAGCGTGCTAGATGGGATTGTGAGAAATTCCCTCTGTTAGTGTTTTAAAGCATTCTTCAATTAAGAAGAAAAATCGCTGCATCTTTAAAACTAGTAAGAGCTTTTCTATGATATGGTTAGTTTTTGGATAGGTTTTCACATGGATTAGAGATTCTTTCATTTTGCTGTTACGTTGCTGTGTTCCTATAGCATAATCATGAGTTTTAAAAGGCTTTTTTTCTTTTTTTTTTAATATTGTTTCAGTTAACATAAAGTATCCTGTCTCTGTTTTAACAGGTAGAGGAAACAATGTCTTCATTAGCTGAAGTGCAGCAATTGGACAGTTTTCTTTGTCTCTACAAACAGCATATAATTCACCTTATGGAATGGGTTTCAGTATCATGTGATAGTTGGACATGCTATTCTCCAGAAATATTACACTTAGAGGTCATCGCAACTCATTCAGGTACAACTTATTTAGTAGCCTGATAGCTCACCCAATTCTAAAAAAAATAAAGTAATACTCTCTGTAGCCTGCAAGCACATTGTGTTTTATAATGAATAGTGTAATATTCAGGAACTTCATGAGAATACGACGAAAAGCAAAACTGAAAATGCTGAAGCAGCTCAAATTCCAAAAAAATCCCACTAAAACCACTTATGTAAAAGTACCCTGTATTAGAGGAGACAAGCTAATGTAGCTTATGTGTCCAAAAATATATCTATTTTTCCCATCTATTCACTTATAATAAGATACTATCTTTCTGTACAAACATTTCCTCGCTTATGTTCTTCAGTACATAACTGTGTGTAGATGAGTGAAACACTTTGGAGTACGTTTCACCTAAGTTTGGATCTGCACAGTGAACGTTCCTCTGCTGCAGCTCTCCAGATTACATCTATAGGCAAGGGATGCAGTGACAGGCAGTTCTTGTCACCTAGACACTCATTTAAAGATGATTAAAATGGAAAGTCCTGTTTATTTGATTTTTCCTTTCTGTTAGTTAGAAAGGGGATGAAGACAGCTACTTCAGCTACAGGTGAAGAATTATTATTGCTACTGCAGATAGTTAAATGTGGACAAGTATGTTTTAAGGAACTGTATCTTCTGCATTTAATCCTTGAATCTCAAAAAAAGCCTCAACAAATCTATGTGGAGCACCCACTTGCTGGTTTGTGCAGCAACCAGCATAAGTACTTTTTCTTTTTTTCATATGTGGAAAGAACAAAAAGGTTTTTTTCAGTGCAAGATCCAAGAGCCCAACTTTTCTGTATATTTGCGCTCCCATTTCCATGACTGAGGGACTTCTAGACAGTTGTCTCTGTTTTCCTTAATGCTAAATAAATCATCAAATGTCTGGGAAAACATTTTGGCTTGCACCCAACGCTAGTAATATGCTATTGTCTGTGTTTTCTGTCTGACACAGCAGCTCCTAGAGCTGTGGTGTTTTTTTTCTTTCTTTTCATTCCCACACATGATGTTGTTTTTAATCAGTCAGGTTTACTCATTTTGAATTTCTCAGTTTTTACTGCTTTTCAGGAATGTATGCTTAAGCTGAAATCAGCAATGTAGTTTATTTTGTTTATTTTCCATCTGTTGAATTTGCTGCTATCAGTTAGATATAGTAGTAGTATCTTTTAAATGTCTCAGAACTCACATGAAGCAATGTTTTTTGAATACATGCTGTGAAAATAAAGACCTATTTGTTGGCACAGAAATTTAGCAAACTACAGTTCAGCACCCGGTATTGCTTCAGTCTAGACAGTGAAGATTTGGGTGTTTATTAATTATTATTTTAAGCATCAAATCTCCGGATATTATTAAATGCTGTTGAACTTGTTTTGGAATCTTGAATACTTCAATCTGTCCATTCCATGTGTGAGGAATATTCTTGTCATCAGAAGTGCCAAAGTGTTGTGTCTCCTGGGAGGATTTTCTGTGTGACTGGAATTGAATGGAATGTGCATGACAAGGATGCAAAGTTGAAGAATTTCCTAGAGAAAAGTAGTTTAATGCAAACATAGAGCAGAAAGAGCGTTCTACAGCAAGAAGCTCACAGAACAAAGCATGTGTATAGTCTATATGTGTTCTTCTTTAAAACTATGCAGATGTTAATCATTATCAAGGAGAAAGGCAGAAACTTCGTTCTGTTTTGGGAAAATAACTTCTTCAAATGTTGGGATAACAGCTTAGGGTTTGGGGTTTTTTGTTTGCTTGTTCATTGTTTAGTGCTGAAAACAATTCCTCATAGGATGTGAAAATGTTAAACAAGAGAATTAATTAGGAAAATATTTTTAGTTCAAATAGCTTCTAAAATTAATTGTATTTTAGTTTATCTTGTAAAATACAAGTAAGCATTATTTAAACATGGAGAAAGAATACTGCTGCAGTAATTCTATTATCCAAGTTTTGAGGCTGACCCTTTCACACATGCCCTTTCTTGTGCCTCTGGGAGTCATGAACATCCCTCCTTGAATGCTGCACATGATAAAACTTGAAGAAAAAGGCATAGTTAATGCTGCTGTTTGGAGTGGTGTCGTGGTCATAACAGATGCAGTATAATTTTTCATTAAGTTCAAGGAAACCATAATTTCATGCATAGCCTCAAGCTTTCAGAGCTACATGGTGAACAGCGTTAGTCAACCCAAAAAGTCATCTTGTACTGCTGGTCCCAGCAACTAGCGGATGTCATTGATATGTCCCCATGCTGTGTAATGCGATGGAGTGCAGCAATACCAAGCTGGCTAAATGAGATGAGGGGTAAACTGATTTTCAGGGAGCACTATGCTGCTGTGGCTTAGACTGTGGGTACCTGAGCCCATAGAGAGCTCGCTTGGGTATTGTGCAGCACCTAATAACACGGATACATCAACAGCTGCCATGCAAGAGTGGAAGGTTAATTGTAATACCAGGCATATTACCAATTTTAATGCACTCACATATTAAACAACTAAATAGAACTTATTAGTACTCTGAAATAAGTTTTACGTGTTTATTTTCTAGGTCCTGTCATAGGCGAAGCTCTAAATAACTTTATTCTCATTCTTAAGACGTGTCTTCAGCCAAACAAAGATCCTCAGATGCGGTTAAAACTTTTCACTGTTTTATCACAGTTGCTCCAGAAAGCAAGTGAAAGCATCAATTCTCAGGGGTAAGTAGAGTTATAATTTCATGCACCTACTTGAACCCTACAGTGGCATTAGAAAGTAATGACCGTGTTAGTTATTTAACCCCTATAATTGTGTCCATGTTAGCGTGTCTGGAAGGAAGACTTTCCCACCATCTTCTGCAGTATATTTTTTAACAATTCATAGAAGGGCAGTGTACAATAACTTTAAAAAAAAAAAAAAAAATTGAAGTCTGGACTTGGTCTACTGCAGTCTTCCTACCTCTGCCACTGTGGAGAGTTAAAATGGATGCCATGCGGACCTGGATACTTTTTAAAAAATAAAGAGCTGTAGTTGAAAATAATACATGTTTGGAAGCTAAAATGTGGATGCGTAGGAATTAAATGGGGGAGGGGGTAGTTAGGTTTTGGTTTTATTTTTTTTCTTTCCCCAGCCAGCTCCTAAATCCTTAACCTTTGCCTGTAGTCATTGTAAGGAAACAATAAAACACCCCAAAAATGTGCATTTAAAAATGCCCATGATACAGCATGGTGTTTCGAAAGCATTAAATGTTTGATAAGGAATTATTATTACCCTCAGTGACTGAAGATGGAAGTCTCCTGTTGCTTGGCACTATTTCTGCATTGCAAGTACAATCTAACTATAATTTCTGGTGCTTATTAAACTCCTCCATTTATAACAACTCCAACAGTGGGGCTCTTTTGTCATTATTAATCTTGCCTTACTAGTAGAGCAAACACTTCTGCAAAGTTGTCCTGAGTACATAAACCATAACTGCTCTGCTATTCTCAGTGCCTGCTGCATTTAGTATGTAAAAAACCAAAACCAAACGAAAAAACCCGCAATCACAGGAAGCATTGTTCCTAAAAGTACTTTTAGAGTAATGGTCATTTATACTTAAAAGTTTTTTCATTATTCTGATGAGCAAATTGGCACTCAGTGGGCATTCTGGTACATTGAACATTCATTCGGGTTCCATGAGGCCATGTTAGTATGAATGTAGATGTATTTTTGCCATTTTTAGATATATTTAGCATATTCATGGCCTGCATCCATGAGGAACTCTTGTGTTCCCATTCAGTGGGGGATTCCAGGTAAGCTGAAGAATCTCTGCTAATGCATCCCCTAAGATTTTGAGCTAGTGTGCTTAAGATGGAATATAATGAAGCTGTCCGTTTTTACTGAAAGCTTTTGTGACAAGTGTGTTGTTATCTGTTTCCGTATTTTCAGGATCCAATATTAAAATCCCTATTCATATGAAAAATCTATTTTGAGTTAGTGAATTACTTGTTTAAATGATCATGTAACTGAGTGGTAGTTACAATCTAGATATGTAACAGTCTTCCAGAAAGAAAGAAAGAAAAGCACTTTGAAAACTATTGTAAGTGTTCCAGGATCTGACTATTTGTTGTAAGCTGATCTGTTGTTATCTCAGATCTGTATCATCTAACTGAGAATGCAAAGACCCTGGAGCCAATAAATGTCATCTCGTGTTCTGTGATGTCCTGAACACAACAGTAATGCTTATTAAGTGTGCAGTAATGTATTTCAGTCTAAAAATGGGATAAGGTGATTCTCTCCTATCTATTTATTTTCTTTTATGGCCCAATTTTACTGTCCTTTATTTACTGCAGAATACATTATTAGCTCCTGTTCATCTACCATACAATCACATTTATTATTTTCTACATTTTTTTAAAAAAACATTAAATATGTTCATTCTTTCAAAGGATTTAATCAAATTCAGACCTGGTCGACAAGTTAGTCTCACTGGCATTTCTTCTCTATACATTTTCAGTTATCTAGCCTCCTGCTCTTCCTCCTCAGAAATAGCATTACAGATCACAGCAGAAAAGAATTTGAAGAACTCAGTTAAATTCTCTGTTCTGCTTCTTGTTGTGATCTACGGAAAATCATTTAGGCTGCATCTAAGCAATATGACAGGGACATTACATGGCGTGCATGCTACAGAGTCGTGACCTGCGGTGTTCCTGACTAGGGGGGCTAGGAGGTGGGAAGGACTTCTCCATGCACATATGGCCTTAGTCATTCCTTGTTTCTCACCTGTGCAGTAGGATCGGTGGCACTGCTCTATCTGAACGTCTCTGAAGTGCTCAGGTAAGTAAATTAAGTTAGGTCACGTAGGTACTGCTGGTAGAGAGAGATGATCAGTGCAGGGCCACATGGAGAATGTCATCAAAGGGTGAATTTTTGTTTTGTAAGTAGTCAAAACAAGTAGGATGAATAAAAAAATCTTTCATCAGCAAGCCAGTCATTTGTATAAATAATGGAGCCAAAGAGGGGAAAAAGAAAAGTCAGCTTCCCTAGGATTCCCAGGAAAGGGAAATTACCAGTGTGGAAAAAATAGAAGAACATGTTACACAGTAATAGTCACAGCGAATATAGCCACACATCAGATCAGCTCTGCAGACAGCAGTGATGGAAGCTGCGTGGCTCAGGGCAGTGTGAGTGAATGGCCTTCTGTCAAGATTAGATACATCCAGTGAGGTTAATAGACCTGTTTGTACAAAGAACTACTCCTGGCTGTGGATGGCCCAGTCTAGCTCGTAATGAGGCTCTCTGTCCTCTGAGAACAAGAGCAATGCAATGAATTCTACTAGCAGGTTTATCTTCAGAAACTAAAAAGCAGTAGAGGAAGGTAAATGACTCTCTTTGAAGTCTTGATCCTACTTGTCATTGTCACAGCAAATGCTTTCATGTAGGAAGTAACATGTAAAGTTTTTGTAATTGATGAGTTGTTTGCAAAACATTTCTGGAGGTTTTGATTTGTAAAAGCAAATCCAATTTTGTTTTGAATTACCTGGATTTAGGATGTTAAGTTTGGAAAAAAACAAAAACATACACACAAAAAATCCAAACACAACAATCTGCTAACATATAAAGCCAAGTGCAGCAGTGCCTTAAAAGCACAAAGGGAGCCAATCCAGAAGAAAAATGTATAAAAAATAGTTGACATGGAATTACAGTTTAAGTATATGTCCATAAAATGGGGGTAGCAATTTTAATGTAAACCCAAGGTCTCTTTTTATATCTGCATAAGAGTTGGGTATTATTATATGCACAGATCATGTTTTGGTTACTTCATATCCAGTTGAGAACGAAGTCTCAACTCTGTAAATGTAAATAGCACAGAGAGTATGTTCTTTCATGGAAATTAGTCACTTTTAGAATTAAATCACATAGATTTACAACAGTAAGATTTGGAAATGGAAAGAGGGAGAATTTAATTCCTTCAGCAACAGCAAAAAATAACATCTTAATGGTAATGAGAGATAGTGTACAAAGTAGTAATAAATTCTGGTTACACAATTGCATTCACTGCTGGCAGTAATTTGTTTAGTGCTTTAAAAACATTCTAACAGTTTAGATAGGAAGGTTTTCAGTTACTATATTAAACATAGATGTGTGGTCATATAATTTCATTTGAGTCTGACATGATTGAGTCAGATAATTGCCAGATATTGCTTCACTGATTCTATTTCAAGGCACGAGAACAAATATTCTCACAAATAGCGTAGCATTATGGTTAACATAATGCTGATGGAATTTACCTTTATGTTTTGACAGATGGGTTTGTCTTTGCAGTTTAACAGAGGGCTTTACTGAAAACAGAAGCAGCTACTGATGAGATAGCACAGTAGCACAGATAGCTTTTTTTTTTTCCTTTAGCTTTGGTGCTAAATTATAGTGATCATTAGTTATATTTTTTCTGGCAACTTTTTGAACAGAAAATTATTGAGTCTCAAAAATGTGTTTAAAATAATAACTCGAAAGGTTTTTGACAAATGTAGATGTGTCTAATGGGATGGCCGATATCTTGTTATTCCTGAAGCTGAAGTGCCATCTGCTGGGCAGGAGGAGCAAAGGGCCACCCGGTGCTCCTCTGGCCAGGGGGCTAAGCAGCAGCCAGCTGTATCTATTGTCATCATGTTGAAGATAGAGATTTCCAGTTTTGTGTATGTGCAATAGATAACAAAGGCCTGTCAGGCTGGCTGGTCACACTTTAGTTGGGTTACACCTGAATGACAAGGTCTAGTTGCAGTGGGTAAAGGGTAGTTACAGGAAAGAAGTCAATACATTTTTTATTAAATTGATACAATATTATTATGGAAGTTTTTATTGCTGGATTATCATTGCTGGATGATTTTGTTTTGCTGTTGTGGGTTTTTTTTTAAAGTACTTAGTGATAATTGTTTGTTGTTAACATCTACCCATTATGTTCCTCCTGTGGCTTGGCACATCTCTGCAGAAGCCACTTATTCATCTTGGAAATGTAGGAAAAAAGTCAGCAACAGCTTCTTCCCTTTCTGCCAAGCACCGGGGTGGTGATGTGCTTTTTTGCACTCAGGTGGCAGCACTCCAGGTCTGCGGGAAGTTTTAATAAAGTGGGACACGAGTCAAGGTAGATGTAGCCTGTTATTTGTCACTCTGTTTTGCACACTGCCAGCTGCTTTTTTAAGGGACAGTGAAGAGCCTTATTTATATAGTCACAAGCCAGGCACACAGGTCTTTTTCATGCAGAAAAGTATTTTTTAACTTGTGTGTAAGATCTGTATCTTCTTCTCTTAATTTAAAATTGTTTAAGCTGGAATTAAATGGGTGTGAGGGAATACTGCTTGTTGCAATTACTGAGTCTTGCAACAACTTTTAGTATTATAACAGCCCATTTAGTAGAGGAAGAGGAGGAGGAAGAAACCTCAAAAATATCACATTTTTGTGTGTTTGTAACGAAAACAAATTAGTATTGTGACTGGCACCATCAGAAAATCCTACAGAGCTCTCATCCTTGAGGGAGACGAGTTTCTGCGCCAAGGGAAAGCTGAAGTATTCTGTGCAGACTCCCCGCAGTATCTGTAGTTCAGGTCTCATCAATAGCATTCATACTTGTCACATTATAAATACTTTTCACTGGACAGTCTCAAAGGGCCTTACAGATACTAATGAATCCTCACAGCATTCATATGGGGTGTTACTGCCACTTCACAGACGGAGAAAATGAGACAGAGAGAAGGTAAGTAGTTTACCAAGATAACACGGTGAGTCATGGGCATCGTCTGAAGTGGGAGAAAGTCTAGCCTCCCCTTTCCATGAATGTTAGGCATTTGTTTAAATACTATCTAGAAAAATTAAGTTATGAAAACCTTATCACATACATTATAATCACATTGGCTTATAAGATTTTTTTTTTTACAGACTCTTTTTTATTCTTTTCTGCCTATGTTTCTGTGACAGAAAATTCTCTTTTACATCCTGTCAGCTTCTTTATCACTTTCTCATGAACCTTTATTTTGCTTTCTTATTTTTGGCTTCAGGCTGTTCCCTAGCTACCTTGAGACTGTGATAAAAGACATACTGGCTCCTAATCTGCAGTGGCATGCTGGAAGAACAGCAGCTGCCATCCGCACTACAGCTGTATCATGCCTTTGGGCTCTTACTCACTGTGAAATGCTTTCACCAGAAGAGGTAAATTCTCTCTTTCTCATCAAACATGCTTTGAAATCTTAGTCAGGAAGACAAAATAAATGCAAGGGGAAAAAAAAGAATAAATCCTTATTGTAAGTAATATTTTCAGATGGTCATATCATTTTCATAATAAAACTCATAACTGTAATTGAGTGTCAATAGTTGAAATGATCCATCATGGAGGGACAATAATATCCTGATAAGAGACCTGAGGCCAGCAATATGGTGAGCTGTAGGACTCGCCATTGTCAAATTGTGTAGGGCTTTAGTTCTAGCATAACATCAGCTCTGTGGCACAAAACACCAACCACTGAGCACAGCTTGGGTACTTGGCACGGTTGGACCCCCAGCCAGCGCCTGTGCAGCAGCACTGGTGCTAGCCAGGACATGCTTTGTGTAATGTGGCAAAGACAATTTGTCTGGTTGCCTTGGAGCCCACTGGTCCATTTAGGAAAAAAGTCTCCAAAATTCCTGGAAAGGGCAGGAGGATTTGAGACGGAACATGAAGGGTATCTGTAGAAACTGAATTAGAGAGCTAACAAGGAATACACTTAAATAAATGTTATCCCCGTAGTGATTAAGGATTAATTAAATCTGAGGGGTTTTTTTGAAGCTTCTTTGCTAACAAAAATGGCATTTGGAAATGATGCACTGGATATATGTTAAATATTAGGGCATTTTTAAATACAAATAGACTTAAAATGTTATTAAAAGTCCATAGTCTTTTGTGTCCTTAATTGGACAAAGTGCTTAAACTCATGTAACTGGTTGATTTCCCATATACAAAAACATTTCTGTCAGAGACTGCTGTTCTACTTAAATGTTTTTTCTGCATCAGTAGCTTAAATGCCTTTTTGCATTCATGTATATGAAAAGTACATATTACAGTCAAATTATGAAACTCACTAAAATGTTGTATTTCAACAGTCTTTATTTAAAAGCTTCCTTTTAGAATAAGAGCACCATCTACTGGCACGTACACATTATCCTCAGAATTATTTAAAGTCTTGCCAACAATTTTTTAAAAATAAAAAGGCAAGTAAGTTAAAGCTTTTACAAGTTACATAAAACTCATCTGCATATATACTGAGCATTCATGAACTGGGTGATTGGTGGATTTTCATTTCCCAGGCTTGCTTAGAGGCAAAAACAGAGCTGTGTCTTATAAGATTTTTTAGGTTAACTTTTCTAGTTAACTTTTCTTTTTAAATTAAGCAAGTGTTGGTCAGACCTAATGGTAACTGATGTAGCCAACAAGCATATTGTTTTAGAGTGACTGGAAAGCTGTTGTTCTTCTATGCTTTTCCTGTTAATTGTAGATCTTAAAAGTCAAAGATGGGCTAATGCCCCAAGTTATTGCTGCTGTGGATGAAGACTCTAAAATTACTCGACTGATGGCTTGTCGTATTGTTGGTGTTCTTTTAAAAGTCTGTGGGAGGCAGTTTGATGAAGATGAATTTACCAAGACTTACGCAGGTAAGTGTAAACGTTTAATTTTAATTTTTTTTAATCAAGATCTCTGTGTTGAAAAATTACACTTGCTTTTTCACCCTGAAGTATCACAGTAGTTTAGTTTTTAAGGATGAAAAGCATCGTGCTGGAGCAGTAGGCAGATTCCCTGTATGGCTTTAGGATTCACTGTGCAGATTGGCCACCTCACCTGCAGATTCAGTGCAGCTCGTAGCAGTGAAAGTGCTAATACCTACTAGGGAGTGACAAAAACTGGTGTGTCACTATGGCATCTGCCTTTAATCCCACGTAAAAAGCAAAAACCTTTGAGCAGCTGGAGGTGCAAATGGGGGCAGATTTTGTGTAGACTCAGTTTCTCAGCCATTCTTGTTCCATTCCCATACACATATTCTAACGTTATTTCTGTGTGCTCTTATCTGGGGTTGTAACTATTTGGGTAGCTATTCCCCAGAGTAATTTTATAGATATTAAGGAAGTGGAAAAACTAAAGTGCTGCACAAAATCATACCATTAGAAGCATTTTTGTGTATGAGAGTCAATTTGATGTCTTAATCCTGCAGAGTCTAAGACATGGTTTTAGACTGGCAAGTGAGACTGCTCAGTGTATAAAGTACACATACACATTTTAGAAAATTAAGGTGTTAAACACCTTGGTGTTGTTGAGTGTGACTACAACAGCAGTTGCTTCTTGCAAGACCTTTCTGCAGCAGCTTTTTAACTGCGGTATTTCACTTCACTGAGGTGTATTGCAGACAAGTTAATGTCCTTTTGCAATGCCCTCATTCCCAGTTGAGCAGAACTGAGAATTATTCCCAGCGTTATTATGCATTAGGCCACTAGATGGAACTTCACTCAATATTACTGGCTTTGCAAGGCTTGCCAGTATTTCATCTGCATTGCTTCCTAGTTTAGACTATGTGAAATAATGTTCTAACTATAGTGAAAGCAGAACAGTAATGCATTATATAAATGGTAGTCACATTGTTCTCCTTGCTGTGTTTCAGTGCCAAGAGCAAACCATTTCATTGTACCATAAATAGACCTGAATAGGTAGTGGGTTGGGTTTTTCATTTTAAAAAAAAAAAAAAAAAAAAAAAAGGAAGAAGAAAACCCTAATGTAGAGTGCAGTAATGTCAAATAGAGCTGTTATCTGTAACACTTCTTCGGTTGCTGTTTACATGTTAAACAATGAATCAGGGGAAGTGCAGTCTATGCTGTGTAACAGGATTTATGTTCTCAGAGATACATAATACTAAATTGGACTTTCCCAGACTCGACATCTTGATGATTTTCTTACTTTCTTACTTTTTCTTACATGGCACAGCAGAAATCTAACAACAAACATTTTTATTTGGGGGAAATACATGATCAGACAATCGTCAAAGTGTATCTTTGCATCTTGTGTATTCAAATAGCCGGCGATGCAGTCATTCACTGGAACAGGGGTATTTGGTAGAAATACTGTGCTTTATAGATCATAGAAATATTTAAACTCTGTATTCCTGTAATGCATTAATAGACATTTGCAGTACCTTGTTAGGAAGAGTGCTAGAGAATGTTCAACTAATCCAAATCATTTTACACATTACTTTTAATGTTTTTGACAACATAACAATCCAATAACAATGCACTGCGTGCTTTTAGGAACACTGTGTATTCACAATGCTCAAAAGACAAATATGTCATAAATGCAACAGTAATTTCAGTGATGACAAAATACGTTTGTTTTTTCAAATGCAAGAGATAACTTTGCTGTTCACAGTGCTGTTTGGTCATGTTTATGCTCCTTTTCAGAAGTTTTAAAGCGTCTGGATGATGCTTCATGTGATGTACAACTGGCAGCTGCTCACACCTTAACTAATTGGTTTAAATGCTTAAAGGACAGTGATGTGAAATCTGCCATGGAAAGTCACATTGAGTTTCTGTACCAAGAACTGTTGATACATCTTGATGACCCAGATCAAAATATCCAAAATGCAGTCCTAGGTAAGACTTTCAGCCATACGTATTTTTAACAATGCTTTTAAAATCATGTTTTCAAGTGTTCTATGAGAGTAATGCGTACAACTAGAGGCTAATCCTAACAGGCTGGGAGCTTTCCTTTGGGTTTCGGTGAGTATATGAGCTCAGACCTTTCACCTGTACGCAGAAGGTAGCATTTTATCTGGCATTCACCAGCGTGGAATATGAGTGTGTGTGGTGTATGAGAAGACTTTATACATGGTAACCAGGATATGGAGCATGGACACGATCCATTGCAGGATGTGACCATCTCCTCCCTTGCTGGATTCTTTGGAATTTATTAGTGTATTGGCCTGTGTTCAAGCACATAAATGTCAAAATGCGGACCTCGGCAAATCAGGTTGTCTTACCTGCGCAGCTTGTAGTAGAACAACTTCCAGGTTAGGTTTCAGCTACTTTGAGGCAACTTGGATAGAGTGGCTAACGATTTCTAAAATACATTTTTGTTTTACAGAGGTTTTGAAAGAAGGAAGCACTTTATATCCAGAACTGCTTGTGAGAGAAATTGAAGGGGTTGTACATAAGCATCGAACGCCAGTCTACTGTAATCAACTTCTGCATCACATTCAGTCAGCCAAATGAATCAATGCTGAAATTCATTTCAGTGAACTCTATGTGAAATCCATATGATCTGGATTACTTCCGTGTTTTCATTTGCTTAAGAAAGGCTGAGCAATAAATAGATAGTTTTTTCTTTGTAAGTTCACTATTAGCTAATTTAAAAGTCAAATTGGCACAATTCTGTGTTCTTTGCTGTTTGAATAGTTCTTTGTATTTGCTAGCAATAAAACAATGTTTTAATTCACTTTGCATTGGAAGTTTTTCAGATATAAGGTTTAAAGGAGGAATGTTTTTCAGGAACTTGACACTATTTATAATTGAGAAATATTCTATTTAACAAAGTAATAGTCTAATAGTCAAAGTTATTAATGTAATTCAGCGAGGACTCAGTCTTTCAAGGAGCATTTCAAACACTGGATAATAATTCAGACTTTGCAGAGTCAGGTCTGTGAGGATCAGTTTTATCAGAAAAAAAACCCAGCCAAACTCTCTTGCATAATGCAGCAAAATTTTATAATGTTTTGAGTACTCATACTTACTGTGCTGGTACAGTAGGGACATATTCTGAGTAGGTGTCACTAAAGGAATAGTTTTTATTGTCATTGTATTACATTTCATGACTGAGAATAAAGCTAACCTTTTTTAAATTAAGGTTTATACACGGGAGAAAACGTGCTGTTTTGTCATTGAGATTAACAGTATTTATATTTTTGTATTAAATATATTGTATCTGCAGTTTTTATGTTTTTACCATTGTGCCTTGGAAAGCAAGCAACATTTGTTTCTGTATTAGTTTGAAACTAAATTGTCCAACATTAGGTTAAAGCTTGATCTATTTTTTTAAAAGACCTGTGCAGTGTATAAGCTTTAGTGTTTTATTTTCTCAGCTGTGTAATAAAGTAAGTAAGCTCCTCGATTCTTGTCTAAGTCAGGGTGGGGCGGGGTGCTATTTATTGCACACACAAATCATGGAGAATCGGGATCCTGATTTTTTTTTTTAATTATCTGTATTATAGACAAAAAGTGCTCTTTGGCTTCTTAGTCCCAAGTGCCTTGGCTTTGTACCAAGTCTAAAAAGAGGCTCAGTGAGGTTTGGTAATACTCCTTATGCTGTAGGAAATCCTCACATTTGTTTATCCTTCTGAGATAACTTTACCTCTTCAGACTTGTGGCATAATTATTAACTAAACCATGGTCTGTTTACAGCAATATCTACTTGCATTCTCCAAGAAACATTTGAAAGATATTAGATATGCAAGATCCATCATTCCTAGCTTGAAAGCAAAGTAATGCAAGCTCATGGCTACTTCTCCACAAACTATTGAGTCGTCTTGAAAAATTCTACCAAAAAGGGACAACAATACTAAAGATACAGAATAACAGAGTAGTTTCTTAGTGATCCAAAAGCTGTTTTGCATTCCTGTAGGATACTAATTTTTAGCTCATACACACTGTCTTTGACGTTGTCTTGTCTTTTCATTAAAAGCTAAAGTATAACCATTCCTGTACTGAGCAGTTGACAATTAACTGTGTAAGTCACTATAACTGGAGGGGCAGATGAAATTCTTAGAAGGCACAATACGAGTGAAATAAAAATTGCTGGAAGACATTAAATTGAGTGAAGAGGTGGTGGTGTCTCCAGCCTTGGAGATACTCAAAACCTGACGTAATACAGTCCTGGGAAACCTCTGCTTGGGAAGGGATTTGGAGTACATGTTCATCAGAGGTCTCTTCCAGCTTCAACTATTCTGTGACTCTGTGAAATTGTTTCCTTAGTCTAATCAATTATTAAAAAGCCAATTTAATTAGACTGGAAATAGACTACATAACTATCCTAGCAGAGCCCTTAGAATTTTCATTCAACGTTCTGCTGTCAAAAAGTAGTGTTCCAAAGCGCTGCAAAGCAGCAGGTTCTTCCAATGCAACCCAAAGGTTTGTGTCAGCAACAAGAACTTTGTTCTCATTGTAAAGGTCCCTTGAAAGTCCACCAAATAAATTCTACTTGCACAAATAGTAAGAGCTGAATTATTCATCAAGCTTGACATCTTCAGGAGGCTGAGAAATTTTTTTTCAGCATGTGTTGAGCATTTTGTTATCTTTCAGAACAGTCCATTGTGGGATGCCTCCCAAAGAAAAATCTCCGCGTGATCCAACAAGCCAGCTTTTTTCTTCAGAGCCGGGAGCGCTTTGTGAATGGAATATTCTAATAGTCCTAGAGATGTGTTAAACAGCAACCTGATCTTGTTTATGCATCTGTGACAAGCTAGATATTCTCTGCTACGTTCTTTTATTAGAGAGTGTTCTGAACATAGGACTTCAACAATATGCTGACCCTGCTTATACTTTACCATACTTAGCTTACATAACCCAAACTTCTCAAATCCCTTTATGAAGAAGTGCTATTATTGAGTCTCCTGTGGATGGTGTATGAGCCTGGGTTTGAGAGTTATTTTCTTTCAGACTCAACCTTCTCAGCTTCAACCTTTTACTATGTCGGTAGGAACAAAGTTGAAAGGTATGATTTTTTTTTCTATCTTGCTAGACCAGCTACTATATGTACTAGATTTTATTTGCATTCATTGCATAGTGTTACTAGGATCATATTCATTACGTAACTTTCAAGCAAGGACAATTTTTTTCAGCAAAAGTGTTATCTCAAAATTTCAGACTCTTTAGATAAGCAGGCTTTAGCCCTGCCCTTCCTGTGACAAACAGATGTGCTTCTGTCTTCGTCCTTGTAAGCTAGAAGATCTGTTGTGGAGGATCCTGGGACTTGGATTCTCAGCAAAACAAAGTTTTTGGTAAGTGCATGCATTTGTCTAACTGAGTATAGAATCTTCTAAATATTTGTTGCCTAACTTAAATAGAATTAATTAATTAGACATTGCAAGAGCACTGTCAAATGAGGCACCTAGCCTTTGAGAGAAAGTCTACGTCAGAGAGCATTTTTAAGAGAAACCAGAGATTAAGTATGTTCCCAGATCCATCTACTTCTCATCCATGTGGGTTCTTATAGGCAATCTGCAGATTTCCTCAGAAATGCTTTTGGCAGATTGTAGACAGTCTGTCTCCAGGTGTCCGGCAGTGCACTGTGTCATCTCAGCCCACGGTAAAGATGCACTAATGCACCTTGTCTGCTTGCATACGCAGTGTGCTCCCGAGAGACTAGCAGCCCGTTATAACCAGAGAGTTATTGTAAACTATAATAACCTATCAGAACTCTATAGAGAGAACTATAGCTATGATAGTTTAATACTGGAAATACAGAAAATAAAATAAATAAAGTATAATAACATAAATAACTTATGCTAGAATATAATAGCATCATTTTGCTATAGTGTAGTATAATAGTGTAGTAAAGCTATCCTATACCATAATAGTTATTTCCAGTTATTTACAGTTTTAACTGGGAGTTATTGTCTACGCTTTATCTCACCTGGGGGAAGTCCCTTGTCTGCACAACACAAACATACTAGAGCATTGCCCCAGATATAAAGTAACATCTTGGGCTGTGGAAATCGACTGCTGATTTAAGAGGAGCCAAGTTTCTGTTTCATTTGCAGAATCTGTGTTAGGATCACTGCATGGCAAAGTGTCAACTGTTGGCTTTCCCATATAACAGTGGATCAGAGCTGGTCCTGGTGGATAGAGGCTCTGCGACTCAGCCCTTCAAGTGAAGCTCTAAGCATGTTTTAAAAAGAGAAAAGAAAAAAAAATCTTCATTATTAGGCAGCTGAAGGATCAACAAAAATTACACTTAACAGGCTTGTGTCCATTTACTGAGATCAATCCCCAGGGAGGCTCACGAACAGCAGTAACTGAGATGAGGAGGCAGACGAGAGCTGTGAGGAGAATGGTTGCCCAGTCTGCCTGCCTTCGATGTAATCGGCTTTTCTTGTTAATGTCTGAAATCCCCCGTAAGTCAGGACGATGGCAGGATCTAGTGGCAAAATTGAAGTGCTTTGCAGACCCCTCTCAGCCGATAACCTAATCGCGCTGTACAGAGTGCCCGTTGCCTTTGGCTGACAGCGGTGATGGTATAGAGAAAGGGCCCTCGGGAGTTTAACCATAAAGTGTGATCCAGATGGTGAGAAACTTTTTTCTTTAAGGAGCAAGAAATCAGATTTCTAGATACTTTAGGTGATTTTCATACTAATGCATATATCGAATCATCTCCCCACCCTTGGACATAAAGGTCACCAACCTTCCTCATGCTAAGGGACCATCACACGGCATCCCCCTTGCCCAGCACATCCCTGCCACATGGTGCCACCGCACCCCAACCCCAGTGTCCCTCCCCAGGCTGCTGCATTTCAGCACTTCCCAACCCCACCAGTGACCTGGTCCCCTCACTGACCGGTCACACAGCACTGTCCTGTGCTCAGCAATCCCCCACCCTCCACAACACTGGGAACTGCAACTTTTCACCCTTTCCAACCTGCATGGCAGCATGCCGTGCCCAGTACCCAGTATTACCAGTCCAAAACGCGTTGACACACTGGTTCCTGTCCCGTTCAGTCCATCCCTTCAGACGGTGGGACTGTATCTTTGTAGTTGATATCAAGGGCAAAAACGCAGAGCAGAACAGGTTTGCTAGGTGTGAGCACAGGAGTGCCCTGGGAACGGGAGTGGGGATCACAGGAAGGAAGCAAAAATCTGGGAATCATGGTGGGAAGGGATGGAAAGAAGGAGTAGGACTAAAGAGATGCAGACCCATTGGTTTGGCCTCGTATTGCAGTTTCCCTATACCTGCTGTCTGTTAAAAAGCTTTTTCTCCCCAAATTTGTAACTGCCCTCTGGAGTGTTAAAATGGAAACATTTTTAATATGATCAATTTTTATTTTTATTGACCATTTTTTCTACAGACTTCAGCTTAGCCCATAAAATTAAGTGAGCCCTCTTTACGTTCAGAGCTCATTGCTGGATGCTGAAAAACTTTGAATTTTTGTTTGCTTCAGAGCATTTTCTTCTGAAACATGGAAAAATTAACTTCTTATATGTACCAGCTTCTTTTAACAGAA